TGGAACATTCCCTTTTTCTTCTGTAACACATTCATATACTATTAATTATCCCATTGCTAGAAAAAAACAGAACATGAAGACAATATTCGAAGAAATTCTCACTTCACCAGCATAAAGTTTCTTGGCAGTGCACATGACAAATATCCACTTCGCTCCAGGTGATGATTCTTTGTTTGTGTCCAAGAGTTTCCCAGATTGTTTGTGGATAATCTTGCCTTGCAGTATTATATATTCATAATCTTCCCTCTCTTGCTGAAAACAACCTTGAATTATCAATCTGTTACTCAATCATTGCTGAACTCGTATGAAATTATGATAAATGAAACCACTTACCGGTCCAAGATACACAATACATTGCTGCCTGAGTTTCGATCTCGGGCACTCGTTTAGTTCTAAATCCTTTCCATCTCCTACATCTAGCCTGTACAGTGAAATGTGTGAAAACTTCACCCTAGTAAATGCGTTTTAGAAACCATAAGGGGACTATAGATTCAATGGAGAAGTTGTTTCTGACCAATAGAAAAAGGGCTGACCAACATCGCCTTGACACCATTGTTCGTAGTAGAGATGCAAGTTATGGCCATAGCGATGGCGTGGATCAATCTGCAAAGCCCAAATTTGTTTAACAAAAGGGAGAGGAAAAGGGAGTTGAATAATGGAGATGTAAATTACGGCTTCGATCCAATGCTGAAAGGCTAACTTTTGTGCTTTTCCATCTTTGGACAATCCCTTACCCACCTTCAACAAAACAAAACATGTTCAGCAAAATTTGAGCCGAAGCATCTAACATGGGTTCCTGTTAGATTCATACCTTGGAAGCATTTAACATGATTCGGGTCCATCGGGAAGCTGCAGTTTCAGGTTTAGAGAAATTGAAGAAAGAAATTGTACTGTGATTCAGTCTCGCATAGTCTAAGGCTCTCCACCTTCAACATCATAAAATAAACACCATTTTCCACCATCAAAACAACAAAACTCAAAGACCCAGAAGCTAAAATGTGTGTTACCAGAGTTCTTCTGCCACAACGGCGGAATCAGCCAATCTCCGGCGAGTACGATAGCTCCTGTAAACCTTCTGCAGTTTCAAGGCAGCCGTCGGCTCCGTCAGTACGGCGAAGGGAGGAAAGGAGTCATCGGCGTTTGATGTGGAGGGAAATGCAATTCGAAGGGAGGTGGAATCATTGCCGGAGATGGAACCGGCGGGGGTCGGGGAATGGGGCATTTCCGTCCGGGATGAGGAAAACGGGAGGCCCATGCGGTTCAAGGAGTAGGAAAATGGAGGAGCGGTGGTGGTTGGGACACAGTCAAAGGCGGTGGAGAAGCTCTGAGTTTGAACCTCCATTGAAAGAGCGTATGAAAGCTAGAGGAGCTGCAATGGAAGAATGAAAGCCTGGATTTTAAGGCAAGGCTATTTACAGAGGGTGTTCCACTCTTTGCTTTGCATTTATTTCTATGGCCCAATGCTCTACATGGTTTCTTCGTTACGAGGACAACGACTTTATAGTATATAACATATAACGTAGGTAGGAAGAAGTGTCGATTAATCATATACCCGTGTGATACATTTTGAGACATTTTAGCATTGGCGGATGTAGAGATCATTGTGGTGAACAGTCATACCACCCTATATTGACACAACATGAAATACCAAGAAATTTAGAATGAGTATTCCAATATACGACCATAGACAACACGTCTTGGTTAAGCAAGACCGTGACACATAACATATAAATAAGTGATATCAAGTGTTTCCCTTTTAAGTATACAAAGTATCTTTTAATACCGTAAATGATATCGAATCAGTTTTAACTATGTTCGAATCGTTTTAAATTTTATATCTAATAAATTTTTATCGACATAGAACGAATAATTCGAAGGGGCAGTTTTTAGTGAGTCCCTCACTTGGCTGTCCCAAATATGGGCTGTTTTATTTGTATACCACACCCCTTGCCTCTTCACCAACCCACACAAATAAATATACTCCACATTATCTTCATTTCTCACATTTTTTTTTTCTTTTCACGTCGGCTTCTTCTTTTTTATTTGGAGTAAATATTAATTTAAATTCTAATTTTTTTCGTAAAATTTTTGTTAAATTTCTGGCTATTTTTTCTAGAAAATTTTTGAATAAATTAAAATTGATTCATTTAGTAAAGTTTAATCCAATTAGTGGAACATTAGAAACTATTATTTTTATGTCATCCTAGGATTTTGTAACACATGAAATAATAAAAAGATCAAGTATTTTTATTAATTAATTTATTTAATTCATTAAAATATTATATTGTGATGAGAAGAACGCCTCAATTATAAATAAATATTTAAAAATGCAATATAAAAACATTGTATATAAATGGTATTTGGATAATTAATATAATTTGCGACCCATCCAATCAAATTCCACCATATCATATGGAATTGTTTAATAGTTGCATGTAGTGTTATAATATTTGCACACATAAATCAAATTTGTGTCCCTTCTCAATTATTTACGAGAGAAGCCATCAAAATGCAATTTAATCAATTTAAACTATATATCTTAATAATTGAAACAATTTTATTTATTTAATCTCAAAATATATCATTAGAATTATTTATACAATCTATTTTTATATTACAAATGTCCTTAAATAAAAAATTATAATTTTAGAGTTTACAAATAAAAAAATATATTTTTAAATTTAAATAGTTCAAAATATGATGTTTTTGAAATATATGGGAAAATTTAGAGAGTAGAACCAAGTTGGAAAGTTCAAATATTTTAAGGTAATTTTTGTTTTACCTAAATTTGAATTTAACATATAAGGAAATTCTAAACGATAAATTAACCTAATTTTAAAATTTATTAAAAAAAATATATGGACCGATAATAAATGACCAAAATGGAATAAAATTCCAAGTGTGATAAATTTGGAAAATATTTCAAATTAATGGAGAAATCAAAATTATGGAACAGCCGGGAATAAGGAAATTATGGAACAGCGGGAATAAGGAAAATTTCTCCAAATTTCCCCTTTAAATTCTTTCATATAGCTTAGTTTCTTTCTCCAATTCCACCATTCATCTTGTGCGATTGTTTTCTCCTCCGTCTCCGGTATGTTCTTCGTCTCCTTCATCCATTCTGTTCATGTTTTAGTTACATTGGGCAGAGTGTTTTAACACGGTTTGATTCGAGCTTCCTTTTCTTTTTATAGATTTTCAGAGATGAAGATAGTTGCGGCGTATTTGTTGGCTGTTTTGGGCGGAAACACTCACCCTTCCGTTGAGGATATCAACGCCATTCTCGGCTCTGGTATGATATTTAGGGTTTTGTTTTGATTCGATTCCGTACTCATTAGAGTAGATTAATTTGATTTTGCGTTTAGTCTGGTTGATTACCGTAAATGCAGTTCATAAATTGAAAATTTGAATTGTTAATCGGCGTACATTCGCAGTTGGAATAGAGGTTGAAGATGAAAGAATAGAGTTGCTTCTTTCCCAAGTTAAGGGCAAAGATTTAGCAGAGGTCATAGCCAGTGGAAGGGAGAAGATGGCATCAATCTCTTCTGTTGGTTCTGCTATTCCTGTAGCTGCCGGTGGCGGTGGCGCTGCTTCTGCTGCTGTGGCTGCCGAGCCTGTGAATGAGGACAAGAAAGAAGTTGAAGAAGAGTCAGAGGATGTAAGTATCACAAATTCATTCAGAATCCGAATTAAACTTGTTTCATTCTTCTAACCAATATCCTTATTTGTTTCTTGCTTGTATGATACAGGAGATGTGCTTCAGTCTCTTTGATTAACCAGATTTTGCAACCCTCCCTTACACAGTACTCGGATTCATTCAAACTGCTATCTAGAGACCTGGATTTTTGGTTACTTAATTATGATATAGGATGAACTATTATGTCCGGTTATAGTTATAGACCCATTTAGTTTTATGTGAATTTATCAATTCCTGGCTAGTTTATGTCTCTTGTATGGCATGTTCTTCAGCCTTTCTATAAAATATTTCCAAGTTTTGAAGTGTTTTGTCCGTTTTCTTTCACCCCTAGCTCAAGAACATCTCTCTGATTGGATAGCCCATAACTTGTGGAAACTTGCTTAATTTATCTATGCTTAAATTTATGTATGATTGGATAGCCCTTAGCTCAAAAGGCTCTCGACTGATGGTTGAATCCAAGCAACTTGGACGCTCATAAGGAGCCACCTGACAGTAGGGAATATGCACAGAGCATTGATGCCAAACCAAATGGGTATTGAACGGAGTCATAAAGGGAGGCGGGCAGTGGGAAGGCGGCACCAAAGCAGAGACACTGAAAAGAGGGAGACATCCCATCTCTCTGTTTGAAACTTTTTTGTTGGGGAAGCTGACAAGTTCACAACCATCTCTTTCATGGTGGTCATAGCATCTGAAAGCGATGGCTTCTTGTGCCTCATTATTCCTCTATCTCTTTCTGTATTATTGGGTTTTCGTTTCACGTAACATATTTATAACTATCTTATAATAATTAATTCACTCACCTACCTAAATCAACCATAAAAACTAAAATCCCTTCTTTTGCCGGTGTCTTTGTTGGCACACTATTTGGTATCTAGCTTTGATACCATTTATAATAGATACTGGCACCCTTCACATTTTTCTACAAATATCATGGTATGATCTATTATTTTCACAAAATAGTGAATCAGGTTATTGAATTAAAAAAAAGTAGAGAGAAGTAGAAAAATAGGAGGCAGCCAAAAGTGGTCAGAAGAAGAAAATGTGAATTGTCTCCTCCTTGTCATCTTACTTCTAATTTTATCATTTTCAAATTGGATCCTATGCTTCATTCCCTTGCTCAATATATGTCCATATATTTATATATCTCACAATAATAAAAAAAAATAAAAAATGAAAATTTGAGATTTTAATTGGAAATTATTATTTTAAAGTATTTTTAAAAAGATAATATTATTATTAATTTATTATATTTGTGTGTTGCATTAAACCCAGTGGGCAGTGCTCATAAGGTGCCAAAGCGGGGCCTTATCTCTCCTAAGTACTCAGAGGCAGTCTCAGAATTCTGAACAGAAAGATACTATTTTACTCTCTCTTTCTCTCTCTAGACCTCCGTCTCTCCCTTCTTCTCTCCGCCCACCGCTCCGGACCCCAAACTAGGTTTTCCCAAGTGTTTATGCGTTCATCTCCTTTGCATTCTTCACAATCCTATCACTGGGCTCCATTGTGTGCGCCCTTTCAATTCACTTCGCCTCAGGTAAATGCCGTCTCTGATCTCACTCTCCCTCCTTTTTTTTTTTTTTTTTCTTTTGATTTTGATTCCTTGTGGAGTTCTTTCTGGATTTTGCTATCCCAGCTATGTTTTTGAGCTCTCGCTCTTGGATGCTGAGGTTTCTGTTTCTTTTTCGCTGTTTTTGTCAAATCCCATTTTCCTGCTGTCCCTTTGTTGTTATGTTAATACTGTTCGTTTTTATCACTCTACAATGTCATTTAACGTATTGCTGTAGAATCTGAGATGGGATTTTGGTGGTTTGAAGTTGGAGTGGTGGGTTTGTGGTTTATTCGATCCATCCGTTTTTGAAAGCGATTAATATTTTCGTCTTCTGTTGCTGGAACTCATTGATGTTTCTAAATCTTGAGCTGTTTTATGAATGCGTCTTCGACCATTTCTTGGACGATGCAAGTGACTATTGGGGCAAATGGTATAATGGAAATAATGGGTGCTAATCATTACCCAGTCGGCAGTTAATTGTACTTCCGTTATTTCTTATCTCTTCATGTCTCCTCTTAATTCGTATCTTGATGTTTTTGTGATGATTAGATGGCCTGAATGTCGCAGCTTATGGCGAGTGGAAGAGCGGATAATCAATGTTCTAGTGATGCAAAGAACAGCTCAAGAGTGTGAGACTCATTATCTAAGGGCTTTCGTATAGCGAGTGGAGTTAGTAATGGGAACTGGTACTTGTGAAATTGTTGAAGCAAGGGAAGAAATCAAACCTGTTCAAAGTAAGGTAGGTTCTCATCATTCAGATTTCTTATCAAATAAAGATCGAAAACTTTCTGCATTGAAAATTGGATTCAAAGGATCTCTAGAGGATGATATCAATCAGATTTTTGAGTCAATTAGTATTAAAAATGCATCCAAGAGTTTAGGTCATTCGCAAGTAGAGGTAAATGCACTGAGAAAAAGTACACTAAAGAAGCCGATCACTGTTGGCATACCTCGCTCACCAGGTATTGGTACTTCCGATTCTGGTAGTCTGAAGCAAGCACTTAGGGAACTATGCGTTTCGAAAGCGTCTGAAATGGCTGCTATGAAGAGAGCATCAAAATTGTCTAGCTCTTCAAGAATCTCCGAAGCGGGGCGGATCAAGACATTGTATAATTCAGTTATGGTTGAAGCTACTGAGTCAGGCTCTTCTTCACGCATGGTTGAAATATCTCTGGTTCAAGAGGAAAAGAAATTGAACTTTGAGAAGAGACTTAAGCATGTCCAGGCATCTTCTGTTAAATCTCCGGTTGAAAGTGCTCGTTCCTTTCAGTTGCCTATTGCCAAAACAAAAAATTATAGCGAGGTTGTTACTGTGGAACAAAACGTCAATACCACGTCGTCAAGGAAAGTTGGATCTCAAACATTAAGGGCAGAGCTGGAGAAGGAAGAGGAGTCCGTTACCCCACCATCGTTATCTTCCTGCACTATTGGCAAGGTTTTAGAGAAGGAGAAGAAAATTCTTGCTGGAAGCAGGGTAGCAGATAAAGCGGCATCGTCCAAGGCAGGACAAAAAGGTAGGATGCAAACTGCATCTTCGTCTAAGTTGGGTAGTGGCAATAAGGTTACCAAGTTATCTAGAAGTGCCTCCCGTTCGGTTAAACCCGTTATTAGGAACAAGGGGCTGGCTAAGAAGAAAGTCAAACAGGATTTGAGTTCTCCAACATGTAGTTCAAGCACATACAATGCAGTCAATGATGATACGGATCCTAGTAATAGGAAGTTGATATGTGAGCGATGCCACTGTGCATTGAATGGTGCAGCTAAAGACTCAATGAAGGGCTCTGCATCCCAGTTTAGTGGTCTTGGCACTGGTGTAAGCATGACGAATTCGAAATCAGGCATTAGCAAATCAGGCATCTACGGGGATGGCAAGGCTTCTGATGTTAGAGTAAAAAGAAATACAAGGGCACGGGATAAGGGCGAATTTTCTCAAAGCTCAAAAAGTAGTCAAGGTGATTACAGTAGCAGTACGACGAGTATTATAAGTGATGACAGCAATGGTCGTGGATCCAGTAATGGTAACAGACCTCATATGTCGAAAGATGTTAGGTGGGAAGCCATACGCCATGCACAATTGGAGCATGGGGTCCTCAGCTTGCGGCATTTCAATCTTTTAAAGAAGCTTGGTTGTGGTGACATCGGAACCGTGTATCTTGCTGAGCTAACTGGCACTAGTTGCTTATTTGCCATCAAGGTCATGGACAATGAGTTTCTAGCAAGACGGAAGAAAATGCCGAGAGCGCAAACTGAGAGAGAAATACTTAGAATGCTAGATCATCCCTTCCTTCCAACACTTTATGTTCAATTTACTTCTGATAATTTATCATGTCTCGTCATGGAGTATTGTCCTGGAGGAGATCTTCATGTTCTTAGGCAGAAGCAGCTAAGCAGAGTTTTTCCTGAACCCGCAGCAAGGTAAGGTTATATGATATTTGATTTCACCTTCTGCACCTTGTTTGCTGACATTAAATAGGCTCAAAAAGCACACGAAATATATACAAATTTGAGGCAAATGCTGCTCGTGTATACTTATTCTGTACTTGTATGCGTATTACTATAATTTTCGTCGCGTTGATGATTGGTCACAGAATTTGGCTAAAACTGCTCGTCTATACCATTTTGCAGATTTTATGTTGCTGAGGTCCTTCTTGCTTTGGAGTACTTGCACATGCTTGGTGTTATTTATCGAGATTTAAAACCCGAGAACATTCTTGTCAGGGAAGATGGTCACATAATGCTTACCGACTTTGACCTGTCGCTTAGGTGCACGGTCAGTCCAACGCTCCTGAAGTCGTCATCCTTCAATGCAGACTTGGTGAAAACCTCAGTTCCAGGTAGAGATTCTAGTTGTGTTGAGCCATTTTGCATTGGACCATCATGTCAAGTCCCATGCTTCAGCCCCAGGTTCTTACCTGCTACATCCAAAGCAAGGAAGTCAAAACCTGACCTCACAACACAGTTCAGGTCATTGCCCCAGCTCATTGCCGAACCCACTGATGCACGATCAAATTCCTTCGTTGGCACTCACGAATATTTGGCTCCCGAGATCATTAAAGGCGAGGGTCATGGAGCTGCAGTCGATTGGTGGACGTTTGGTGTTTTTCTATATGAGCTTCTATATGGTAGAACCCCATTCAAGGGTTCAAACAATGAAGAAACATTAACCAATGTAATCATTCAGAGCCTCAGTTTTCCCGACAGCCCGATCGTTAGTTTCCAAGCAAGAGATCTTATCCGAGGACTGTTGATAAAAGAACCCGAAAATCGATTCAGGACAGAGAAAGGGGCTGCAGAAATCAAACAGCACCCATTCTTCGAGGGGCTAAACTGGGCATTGATCCGTTGTGCAATCCCTCCAGAACTTCCTGACTTATGTGATATGGACATTACAAGCATGATTGCTCAACAAAACAAGTTCAGGTATTTGGAAAGCAAGTCCACTGGAGAACACCTCGAGTTCGAACTGTTTTAGAACTCGCCGACCTTGCTGTAATTAATATTGTAGCGTATGATGTAAATTTGGTCGAGAATATTTGTATCAATGCTTACCATTTTCATTGCTTCATCAAAGGTCTCTGAGTTCAATATTATGTATCAACATATCCTTTTGGTAGCCTCTGAATACAGGAAATCTTATGCCAACTTAGGGTGAGATATATATATATATCTTAAGCTTCATGGATGGATCGAACTCAGAATGTGGAGTGTCGCTCAGCTTAATTTACAAAATTATTTAAATTATTTCATTTTCTGTGCAATTATTAGTTATTGTACTTCGCTAAATAATTATTTGCAATTCGACTAATAAAAAATTTAGAATTAATTTTTTTTTTCAAATAAAAAAATATATTAAATGAGTTATTCGGAATAAAAATAAAAATATCTCTAGTTCAGTTGAACCGCCGCCTCCATCGTTCTCGAACCTTCCTCTCATAATCTCATCAACTTTGCCCTAGCTTTGCTTCGATTTCAAAAATTTCTTTTCTTTCCCTCGATTTAAACGTTTTCTCCTTTGATCTGCGCTCCGATCCGCTCTCTGTCCATTTGATCTTTCTCAAATTCTTCCGGATCCTGACTTACCGAGTCTTCGATCACCCACATACGAGGAAATTTTCCAGGTAACTCCCTTTCTTCTTCTGTTTGGTTCAGCCCCTTTGCCTTGGGGTTTCTGAGTTTTTGGCTTTTTGGGGATTTTGTTCGATAATGTGGATGAACTATATAGAAATAGAATTAAAACGAAAAAGGAGTTTGAGTTAAGTATAAGCTGGGCATTATACTATCCTGTAGCAACATGGGAGTCCGATTTAAAGTTCTATTGCGGTTTCAATCTTGGTACATTTGATATATCTGTAACTCAACTAGCTTCTCTGCATGTCTTATTGGTTTAACGAGTTCCATTTGGAAGTATTTTAAATTTGATTGTCGTGTTTTAGTTCCAAATTTGCAGAAAAAATGCCCAAGATTAAGACGAACCGTGTCAAGTATCCTGAGGGATGGGAGCTAATTGAACCAACTCTCCGAGAATTGCAAGCTAAGATGAGGGAAGGTCTGTCTTCAATTTGTTACCAACTCTCCTCACTGGGGTTTATGACTCTGATGTTGGTTTACTCTTTTGATGATTGCAGCCGAGAATGACACACATGATGGTAAGAGAAAATGTGAGACGCTGTGGCCTATATTCAAAATAGCGCATCAGAAAAGCCGCTATGTCTTTGACCTCTATCATCGAAGGAAGGAAATATCTAAGGAATTATTTGAATTCTGTTTGGATCAAGGCTATGCAGATCGTAACTTAATTGCAAAATGGAAGAAGGTTTGTTTTTGCCTCTCCTATGTTATCTGGTTCCAAGTAGTTGTTGTTCTGTGACCCTTTCAATGTGAAGATTCTAATATGACTCCATGTATTTTCTGCTTATTCTTTCTTCGTCTTTGACCTCCAAACATTCTATTTTTGTGTCGAACCTCCTCTGCACGACAAAATTGTTTCATCCATATCATTAATTTTTCTTAGATCGGTGAATTTTTAAGCTTGGCATGATATGCATTTTGCTCGTTTGCTTAATAGTTTTGGCTTACATAGGTTAGGGGTGAAATTGGTTGGTTTCTTTATTAAAAAGATGTCACATATAGGGATTAGCACAGAATCTTTTGCAAGTTAAGTGGCTATAGAAAAGTGAGTATGAAGTAACCAAATAACTCTTGAGCCTAAGTTCTGGGAAGAAGTGTTGCAAGTTAGATAAGTCCTTTTAAAAGTGTAACATCCCAAGCCCACCGCCAGTAGTATTGTCTTCTTTGGGCTTTTCCTTTCGAGCTTCCCTTCAAGATGTTTAAAACGCGTCTGCTAGGGAGAGGTTTCTACATCCTTATAGAGAATGTTGTTCTCCTCTCCAACCGAGTATAAGAAAAAAATAATATAGAAGTATGAGACTCTGAAAAGTTAAAAAAATGGGGGTTCTTTTTTTCTTTTTTTATGAAATAGGCATCCTAGCCAATGCCACGACCTTATTTGAACAGGATTTGATCTATAGGTTGTATGAGTTCTAAAGAAATAGGCATCTAGACAGAAATTTGAAAAACCTGGGCCCTTTCTTCATTAGTTGAGACAAATAGAGGCAAGTACACATTTCAGATAAAAGTAAGGCACACAACAATGCACCTAGGTGCCCTTTGAAACGGAAGGGTTGGGATCAAATCCTATGATTTTGAATGGACTAATATCAGTAGTCTCAAATGTTGTAGCTTGGAAGCTTGCACCTCATTCTATTCCTGGAAGTGTTCAGTCATTGTCTTACTTAATTGCTTCTGTTGTGCAGCCTGGTTATGAACGTTTGTGCTGTCTAAGATGCATACAACCCCGAGATCACAACTTTGCGACAACGTGCGTGTGCCGGGTTCCCAAGCACCTGAGGGAGGAGAAGGTCATTGAGTGTGTGCATTGTGGTTGCAGGGGCTGCGCTAGTGGAGATTGATATCTTCTCTTAGTTTGTCTCTCTGATGATAACAACCTCGACACTATGTTCATACCCTCAGAGTTATACTTCGGTAAGAACTCTAATTGTAACATTTGCTATGTGGATTCCTTCCAACAATCCTCAACAACTAGTATCCAACTAAATATGGTTTTATTTCTCAGCCCGACCTTGTGAACCGACAAGAAATTCCCTTCGTCTTTTCGGGTTTGTGGGTCAGGTTGAGCTAGACCCATGAGCTCGGCGATATCCCCTCCATAGAAACATAAAATGTTCATTTGTTTGCATGGATTAGTACAATATGAGACGCTATTATATACTTAAAATGCATTCACTTAGAGAGCACGAACATACTACCATTCAATTATATATTATTGTACACATTTGTTTAGGTTAAACATTTAAATTTATTAACAAAAGTATTTAATATATTTGTCCAAGATTAAATATTTAAATTTAGGTAGAGATCCTTAAACTATAAGGATATGGTAGGAAGTTTGATCCAAATGGTATTTTCTTCTCTGTCATTTGAATTATTTAAATAAAATACTACATCACACATTTGTCATTTCTAAGTAATGTTATAATTGGTTTTAAAATTATTACAAATAAAATAATTTTTTAAAATAATACAAAAACTCAATACTGTTACAGTCTGTAGCTCTGATAATTTAAAATAAATAAATAAATAGCCCTGATTACACGTTAATCTATCTTGATTTTTTAATAATATTATATTTGCTGTGTTCATAGAATTTACCAAATTAATAATTATTTAAGAAGTCAAAGTTTGAAATGTTCATAACCCGACAATATCCATATTTTAATTTGCCTCAAAGAATCTTTAATTACAATGTTTGACTTGGTCGTGTGAACGTGATACTCCTCATTTTTTACTTTTGTATTTGACTTATTGTAATTATTGTTTTTTTTTTTAAATTTTAAATATCACATTACCGCCTAAATTAAAGTATTGGTTATATTAATACTAAAATAAAACTAAATTTTCAAAAGTGTTAATTTACTAAAAATAGAATTAATTGCTTGATGCTCATAATGAATAAGATTGCTTATGGCTTGGTCTATGTCTTTCCAGTTGAATTGATTTGATCCCCTTCTAGAAGGCCTTATAAATTATTTACATATAATTAATATTTTTTTCAATGCTTGATACATGACGCTAATTTTAATTTAATAATATAATCAAAGATAGCTTCCCAATATATTGAATATGTGGGCTATATGTTCTAATTTTTTTTTAATTATTATTATTATTAAGAATTTAATTTTTTCATTTTTCTCGCGGAGGTAGGTCCAAATTTCAAGTCTATAACCTCTTGGTCAATAACATACCATTTAACTATTTGAGATACATTAGAATTAAATCAAATAAATAGATAAACGATTTCTTTCCTTTTTCAAAAGTCACCGATCTACCATGTTGCAAATGGAGAGATTCTATTTCTGTAGAACAAATCAAGAAAGAACAAACCTCTTATAATTACTAGAACATTAAGAGATGGAATTATTCAAACATAAAAAAAATAATAATAATAATAATAATAATGATAAATGATTAAAAAATGAAAGTATGAATTAAGAATCCACGTAAGAAACATATAAATTGGTGAATAAATTATTATTATTATTATTATTATTATTATGATTATGAATGATTGACTCAACTATACTAATCATAATTAACTATCCTATCCTTTTCTACTAATTGAACCTTGATTACCTGTCTAAGATTAAATAGTACGTGGGTTTATTCAACACATTCATCAAATCAATAATGTGATTCACAATGCCAATAATTTAATCAATATAATATCTGAACCCAATAAAGTTGCCTACCCAATTAGTCATATTCATACGCCACATTCTTTTTAAACACACATATTCAAATATCCTTAATTTCACCAAAAAAAAAAAAATAAATAAAAATAATTTTAACATAAATATTAGAATTATAGTCTCAAAACATTAAAAATAAAGCATAGACTAAAATAAAATTATGTGAATTCAATGATGAAAATGTAATTACTAATTAAATTTATGTATCTAGAAGTTGAAGAATTTATTAATTTAATTTATGAATCGAATAATAAATAAAATAATTAATCGGCATGACCGTCCGCCCTGTTTGCTCTGTCTCTCTGTGTGTGTATATATATATATATTATATATATACAGATTGCTTCGTATAATCATCTTCTTCCTCCCGGAGTTCCGGTCAACTTCATCATTACTTTAATCCTCTCCCATCTCTCTCTCTCTCCTTCATTGCCGGGCTTCCCTCTTTAAAATTTCCGCCCCATTTCACCACAATCCAAATTCATACCTCCATTTCCAAACAATTCCTCTTCCCCTGCACCATTAATGGCGGCGGCGCCGGAAACGACAGCAGCAACAACAATCCCCTCGCAGTTGCTGACGTTAATTCCCCGTTGACGCCGTCTGATTGCCCGAATCTTTCTTCCATATCAACTCTTGTGGAAGGAAATCCTCTGTTTTAATCGTATAGAATACAGAGCGTGATCGAATCAGTTGAATAGTTATGGCAGCCGCTCAGATGGTGGCTGATGATCTAGCGAGATCTATGAGTCGACGGAGTTGGGCGTCGACGAGTCAGAGAAGCTGGGCGACGGCGAGCATCAGAGAAGCATGGCAAGCACCGTCCGACGTGTTCACTCGAAGCGGACGGCAGGAAGATGAAGAGGAGCTGAAATGGGCGGCGATTGAACGGCTTCCGACGTATGACCGCCTCCGAAAAGGGATGCTGAAGCACGTGCTGGATAACGGACGCGTAGTTCACGATGAGGTGGACGTAACAAAGATCGGAATGCAGGAGAAACAGCAATTAATGGAGAGTATGCTCAAAATCATCGAAGAAGACAATGAAAAGTTCTTGAGAAGGCTCAGAGATCGTACGGATAGGTGAGTTTTCATATAAACAGGATCAAAATTAAATTTTGAGTAATGGGTTTGGGTCAAAAGCTGATTTTGTGTTGAATTTTTTGAAGGGTGGGGATTGAGATGCCGAAGATCGAAGTCCGGTTCGAGCATTTATCGGTGGAAGGTGAACTGCACGTCGGCAGCAGAGCGCACCCCACTTTGCCCAATGTTTTTCTCAATATAGCTGAGGTAATTTCATTTTATTTTTAAATTTCGAAATTTATTTAAGTATTGGGTTGAAGGGTATAAAAAAAAAAAGGAAAAAAAAACAATTTTTATTAATATATTTGATTTAAATTGACAGAGTGTGCTTGGTTTGGTTCGGTTGACCCCACCCAACAAGAGGAAAATCCAGATTCTGAAGGATATTAGTGGCGTGGTGAAGCCCTCCAGGTGAGTGAGTTTAATACTATTTCATTTGGGACATGATAATTTATGAAGTTTAGGTGATACCCATTTGGTGAGATCGATGTAAAAATGTAGGATGACTCTTCTTCTGGGTCCTCCGAGTTCTGGGAAGACGACATTGCTGCGAGCACTTGCAGGGAAACTGGAAAATAACTTGAAGGAAGAGGGAAGAATCACGTATTGTGGGCACGAGTTTAAGGAGTTTGTTCCTCAGAGGACTTCTGCGTATATCAGCCAACACGATCTTCATAACTGGGAAATGACAGTGAGGGAGACGTTTGATTTCTCAGGGAGATGCCAAGGGGTTGGAACTAGGTATGAAATGTTGGAAGAGCTTTCGAGGAGAGAAAAAGAAGCTGGAATCAAACCCGACCCTGAAATTGATGCGTTCATGAAAGCCATTTCAGTTTCAGGGCAGAGAACCAACTTGTTCACTGACTATGTTCTCAAGGTTTTGTGCCCTTCCTTCCTTCAGTTCTTAGTTTGTGTTTATGTTTTTTCGTTTTGGCTGAAGCTGAATCATCTGTTGCAGATAATGGGTTTGGATATTTGTGCTGATATCATTGTTGGGAATGAGATGAGGAGGGGCATTTCTGGGGGACAGAGAAAGCGTGTCACTACTGGTATGTTCCTCCATGTCAACCATTTTGCTGGGTGTGAGATCACGCGTGTGGAAATCTCTCCCTAGCCGACACGTTTTAAAACCTTGAGTGAAAGTCTAGAAGGGAAAGCCTGAAGAGGACAATATTAGTGGTGGACTTAGGCGATTACAAACGGTATCAAAGCCAAACACGGAGCAGTGTGCCAGTGAGGATGCTGGGCCCCGAAGGGGGTGGATTGTAAGATCCCACATCAGTTGGAGAGGAGAACAAAACTCGTTCGTTCTTTATAAGAGTGTGAAAACCTTTCCCTAGCCTACACATTTTAAAAACTTGAAAAGAAGTCTAGAAGGAAAAACCCAAAGAGGACAATATCTACTATGGACTTAGGGTGTTATAAATGGTATCTGAGCCAGACACCAAGCGGTGTGCCAGCGAGGCCGCTGGCCCCCAAAAGCGGTAGATTGTGAGATCCCACATCAGTTGGGGAGGAGAACGAAACATTCATTTATAAGGGTGTGGAAACCTCCCCTAACAGGTGCAGAGAAGCCCAAACGGAAAAGTCTAAAGAAGATAATATCTACTAGTGGTGGACTTGAGCTGTTACACCGAGTCGGTTTTGGTTGGGATGGTGTTTTTATTCATAGTTCTTGTTTGAAATGTGGCAGGGGAGATGTTGGTTGGACCAGCGAAGGCATTGTTTATGGATGAAATCTCAACTGGGTTAGACAGCTCCACAACGTTTCAGATATGCAAATTCATGAGGCAAATGGTTCACATAATGGATGTAACAATGATCATTTCTCTGCTACAGCCAGCTCCAGAAACCTTTGAGCTTTTTGATGATGTTATTCTAATATCAGAGGGTGAGATTGTGTACCAAGGCCCACGAGACAACGTTCTTGAGTTCTTTGAATTCATGGGTTTCAAATGCCCAGAAAGGAAAGGAGTAGCTGACTTCCTGCAAGAAGTCACATCCAAAAAGGACCAAGAACAATACTGGTTTAGAAAGAGCCAACCATACAGATACACTTCCGTTCCTGAATTTATACAAGGATTCAAAAAGTTTCGTATTGGACAACGTTTGAACACAGAACTTAGTGTTCCTTTTGACAAAAGGAACACTCATCCAGCTGCATTGGTCACCCAAAAGTATGGCTTGTCCAATTGGCAACTCTTCAAGGCTTGTTTTTCAAGGGAGTGGCTTTTGATGAAGCGTAACTCATTCATCTATGTGTTCAAGACAGTTCAGATAACAATCATGTCTTTAATT